TAGACTCCTGTTATTTTTAATACTCTATTTTATTTTTATTTTTTAATTAATTTTTTTTGGCCCACGGGCCGGCCCTATCCATATTTCTCAAGCCCCACAAATTGGCAGGCTTATTTAGGCCAGGCTAAAAAGCTTTTTTCTTAAATGGGCTCCAAAAATCATACCCAGCCCTATCAAATCACGGGTTAGGCCAGGCCGGCCCAACGGGCCTAGCCCATATTGACAGCTCTAATAATCAGGAAATCTTTTTATCTATTTTCTTATATATTTTTAGGGGTTTTTCCCCCATATTTTTCCATGTAAACGGATTTTAATTAAGGCTACAATAATTAATAGATTCTAATCAATTATTAATTAACGTTTGTTAAAAGAGGAAAATACTTTTTTTCAAATTTTAATTGTAACCGTGTCTTTTCCATGTAAATGGATTTTCACTAAAGCTACAATAAATAATTAATAGATTCTAATTCATTATTAATTAATGTTTAACAAAGAGGAAGATATCTTTTCAAATTTTAATTATAACGTATCCTCTAATTGAGGCTACAACAAATTTATATATATATATAAAGCTAGATATTAAAAAGGTGATGTGACACCTCTCTATAACCAAAGATTGTATTAATCTTTTTTACTCCTTTTTTTTATGACATTTTTTCTTATTTTTCTACAATAATTTATTTTTAAAAATTATCTTCATAACTTGCATCTTTTCATCTTTATAACTACTTTTAATTAGTGATTAATAAAATTTATAACTATCAAACCTTTCATCTTCAAAACGTCTAATTAATTAATGCATATGTTTATATATCATCCACTAAGTAGTTGTAATGACCCGGAAGGTCATTTTTGGGAATTTCAAACTATTCGTTGACTTTAGTTAATTAGTTGATGGGTAATTGTGGATAATTGACTTAATCGATAGTTAATGGGCTAAAATGATAATTTATTTAAGACCCTATACTATTTGACCCATTTATATTAAAATAAGTAATAGGGATTTTCACTTTTAATATATAATTAATTTAGAAAAAAAGAAAGGAGAGGCGGAGGGCACGGTTCGCGGCCACAAGATAAGCGACCCATGCTTCAGGTAAAATCTCAAGTTTATTTTGTTTTTGTATTGTTGTTATAGGAAAAGAATAGTATATTAATGGTTGGTGATAAGTTATATTATTATATTAATATGTCAATTAGAAATTGGAAGGATTATGGCGGTTTGGTTGAAAGTTTTAGGGGACAAGATCTGTATGTTGGCATTAATTAATGGTCCATTCTTTCCATAGTGAAAAGTAAATTGAAATTGGAAAATGCTCTTGTGCAGGTGATTTAGACAATTATAGATGGATACGTTCTTAGTTAGGGTGCAAATATTAAGGGTTAGTATGGTTGCCATCACTGGTTCGTAATCGATTGGTTTTCATTTTTAATTAATACTATATGAACAAATAGATATGATATTGAAAGAATTACTGTGTATATCATATCACGTGGATTGCGATTAATGGCTGGAAGTTGGGGCAATGAATTGTATTAGCATCTTTGGCTATTAAGTTGGGAAAAAAAAAGAAACAAAAAGATTATATTGGAATTGGAATTATGGTTACATTTTGTATACCTTTGACATAATTTAGTGGTTTCATTGGGAGAGGATGGCTTTAGATGGCTTAGATGTGGTATGCTACGAATTGGAGTAGATTACATAGATCAATTCACGTAATTTGGCTCTGGTTTTGGACCTTTCTTATAGTTATTATATTATTATTCAAGTTTTGATATATTGAGTAATACAATTAAATATTAGATATATTATATTATATTATATGAATAACATTAGATTGGTGATATTGGAAAAAATAGAACGAGTTGTCATGTTAATTGACATCAAGATTTAAGAACTTGATTATAAATTTGAGTAAGTTTTTGGGTCTAGGCTAAACCTATAGTAATATGAGTATTGTTAGTTTTGAAAACTTATTGTGATTTTTATTTGAATAGATCGAATTGATTTAGAAGTTCAATGAAAGGGGAAGGTTCAAGTCCCGGAGTGATTGTTCGACTATTTCAAGCAAGTGAATTTCTAAACCCTTGTTAAGTGTATGAAA